CTGAACAAGGAGAAAACTTGAATCAATGTCAGGAATCATTGTAATACCGCAAGACTTGAGATAAAAATGTGAGAGCTAGTAGCAGTGGGCTGCAGTGACGAAGTATGATTTTTGAGTACTGCTAACACACAAGATACTTCTGCACCCCCAATTCTTCCTTATAGACTGAATCGCTCACTCCTCCTGCCTGTGCCATGTAACACAACTTAATATCCCCCATGCCTAAACTGCACCAACAGTTGCTTTTCAGTGCGACTACTCAACCATAAAGGTTTCTGATAACAAAAAGCTCCGAGACCGTCTCACTGAACATTACAAAGGAAGAGCACGTGAGCAGCTGTTGCTTTCTAAGCGGCAGCTTCCTCTGGCACACACTTCTGCTTAACAGGAGGAAAGCTGGACAGGCTGCAAGTGTTCAGGCTGAGAGTCACTTCTGGGAAGCTGTAGGATTTTTTGCTGCTTCTGTCAGCCCTAAAGGATGACAGGTGCTGGAGCTCCACTTTACCAAGTCCTTCTTGCTTTGACATATCAACAGGGGGAAAGGAGGACATAAAATCCTAAAATCACTCCTAGTACTCGTTCAGAGGTAGGAGGACAAAGCTTTCTCCTGCAGCAGCTGAACACTTTTTTTTCTTAGTGTTTTTTTTCTTTTTAAAGAAAGAAATAACTAAGATGGCACTTGTGCATTATAAAACAAAGAATATACACTTTGCAATGTGAAGGCTGTATTTAAAGAGAGGACAGCTGGAAGTCAGAATACTTGTTTGTCATCATCTGATGTTTAGAAACAAAAGTAGTAATACGTGCATGGTGAATTTGAAGTCTGGTCTCTGAGAGACACAATTGCTAGTGGTCTGTATGAACTGAGAAACACTGACTGGGAAGACACAATAGAAGAGATTGTACCTTTATAAAGTGGAGTTATAATCCAGTTTGTATGGAAAAAGAGAATGGAAGTTGTGGCCTAAACTCTACCGAGTCACAGCAGCTAACACAATACAGCATAAGTGACATCTTTTTTCTCAAAGAGGCTCAAGGCTCATTGAGTCTGGCAATTCAATTACCCTCTCAACCCAGAAACAACCCCTTCTCCTCTGTCCCTCTTCTACTCCTGAGCTCAGGTCTAATGGCAGAACAGCCAGAACAGCTACATTGTACATGGCCTGTAAATATCTAAAAAGCCTCAGGCTTAAGAGAACAAGAATCCCTGACCTTTTATGATTGCTATAGCAGTTTTCCAACAAAACAAACTACATACAATAGAGCTCTTAAATACCTGACAAAGTAATTCATTTTCAGTACGCTGCTGTCTAAATACTCTATATTAATAATGAATCATTTTTAAATAAATACCTGCGTGTAATACTGCTTACACTAGGATGAGGACAAGGAATCTCTTGAACTGAATCTCCTCTAAACAAGTAGAAGAGGGTAACCTACTGAAGGGAGTTTCTCAAGTGAGTAATGAAGAAAGATTCAGAAGCAGCAGAGGGACTTCAATAATCCTAGAAAGAGTACCCCATTTTCCTGGATTTATGAACCTCAAACAGCTGAATCTTCTATGCTTTGCCTATTTATTTTGTCTAGAAGCTACCAGATATATTTATAAGCTTTTGGATTTAAAAAGAAATTTTATTTACAAGGTGAAACCAGCAAAAAAGATGTATCATTTTGAAGACCATTTTCAACAACATGTAAAATATCCTTGATCGCCTGAGGTAAATACTTTTCAGTATTTACTTATCATTCAGCAAGCAGATTGCTGAATGATATCCAAATTATTATTCCAATAAAACTTTAGAAAAATCAATAACAAAGTGGAAAATGACTTACTGGTTCAATTAAAAACTTTCCAAATTATAAGTTAGAAGTTTTAGTGTGGTTTTCAAAAGCACACCGTTTTTGTTTTCTGTCTGCTTTGAAATCCTATGGTGTAGGTACCCTAACCACCACAGCAGCAGAAAAAAAGAGGGGAGAGGGCAGTGCAGGAGCAGCCATGGTAGCGGGCTCTCACACAGACTCTGCCAGGGTCATGACTTCAGGTGAATCATTTCAACTTTTGGTACCCCTCTCTCAACTTCCACCCTGTATCTATTGCTTGTTTGGCAGAAAGCAAGGAGTTTCAAAGCGCAGTAGTGTAAAAACAGTAGTACACACCTAGACCTGGAAAAAAGTCCTATTAATAAAGGAAACCTGAAGAATTTACTGTTACTTTTTCTGAAGAACAGAATTTGTAATAATAGAAATATTTTCTAGCAAAGGCACCAGAAGCTAATTCATCAGAAGGAAAATTCAGCCTAGCAGACTGCAGCCATCAAGCCAAGGTTGGGTTCCCTCTATGCAGCGTTTATTTTCATAAGAAGTTGCTTGGGACGTGAAGTACAGGAGGCACAGCCATTGACGTGGAGGCCACAAATATGCAGGACTTTCTAGCCTTGTTTCTCAGCCCACAACTTCAGCTATTTACTAAGCACATCTGGTTGTGGGTTTTTCTCACTTCCGGCTTTTTGGGTTTTGGTTTTTTGTTTTGTTTTGATTTGTTTTTCTGTTTGTTTTTAAAGTCAACATTAGAGCTGTTGCAGAGAAGTGCTTCCACTACCGTGCTGTATTAGATTCCTTCCAATAGGGTAAGGAGAGAAAGCAAAGGGTAAGACTATATGTAAACTCACACTTGGAACTGGATTTGACAGAAGCAGTGCTGATTTTAGGCATGCAATTTCCCATCCTAACATCTTGGCTAGCAGAAACCGACTACCTGACTTTTTAAAACTTCCTGTGTGTGAATGTTTCCTGCTGTCTATGCAATTATCAGGCATCAACATGAGGTAAAAGCAGTTACCAAAACGGTTGTACGTATTTTATAAAAGCTAGTTTCAGAGTCGATACAGAAGCTATAGATAGACACAGATGGGGTCCAAAAAGAAAGGCTGTAAGTACTTTTCAGTAATCAAAGATGTATAGGTTTTTCCGTAAAGAATGTTAAATCTCCTGAGAGTAGTATAGTGCAATTCTTTTCTAAAGCGGGATTTCCTGATAAAACAGCATGTGATCAGGTCACCCACTCAGGGCAAAACCAGAGTCTTGCCTAGCATCTGCAGCTTCCAAGATGATTTAAAAGAGTTATCGTCAAACAGCCAAAACTCTGTAGGGTTGATCCACCTCACTGACCACCTGAGGGTTAAGTCTGGCCCTATTAAAATCTGTAAGAGTGTTCCCATTGGCTGCAGCAGGGCAAAGACTTCTCTTCACACCTTTGAGGCAATTTCCTACTATTATTCCAGTATACCTTTACCAAAATACAACTCTCAAAGCTCTGCAGTCAGCCCACCTTGATTTTCTCTGCTCTGTAATGGATTCACAGAATTCAGAATGAATCAGCTGTTAAAATGACGTACCCTTTCTGCCAAGGCACAAAGGGGCATCGTATTTCTGAGGCTATCAGTCTAAAAGACCTCCCAAATTTCTCGTTCCAAGATGTTACTGGTGTTACTTCTTCTTCTGACAATTTCTGTTGCAGTCTTCAGTCTGTCTTCCCTGGTCCCTTATTCCCAGCTTTTATGTTTTGATAATCAGGCCCTTTTTCTTTCCTCAACAACACACCACTCTATCCTATCCAAAGCAGTAGCATAACTAATACTTAATAAGAAAAGACCATCCTGGTAACATACTGTCATAAAATTTACTTTAGGTTTCCCACACAAACTACAGCACAATGAGATGGAGACTAGCAGTTTCATTACTGCTTTGTACCTTCTCTGTTCAGTTTACCAGCTTCGCGACGCCTGGAAGAGGTAGTAAGCAGCAATACACCTCATACTATACTATGGTTGCAAACAGATGCCTACGTTCATGAAAATAAATGCTGCACTGACAGGGTACAAATTATATAAGAAAACTGTCCATATGCAGATGCTGGGCATAATGCCATTTACTGTAAACCACATCAACACATAGTTATGTTATAATTGATACATATATGTTAATAAGGTGCAGAATCTACCAGTATCTGCTCTGTATAGCACATAGTGTAGTAAAAGCAACGTGGCTGTTAACTCGCACACGGCTGTGCTGCTGTTGCCCACTTCACTCCAGCTTTACCTGCATTGGCCCTTTCAGCTGCATCAAACAGTGAGACATGTTAGAACATAAAATGCAGCCAGAAAATCTTTGTAGCATCCCCAGTAGATTATGAGTCTAGTTGGGCTCATACAAATAAATCACACGGCAGCTAATGATTCCACAGATGGGAAGTAAGTTTTAAAAGGTATGGGGCAATCAATATCCAGTCGTCTTTAGGCTACCCCAGACAGTCTAATTAATCTTGTCATATCAACTTTGCAGTCATCTTTATTTATTTCTGACTGTTAAAAGTCATTTGTAAACCACAAATCAGAATAATGTTCTTAAGATTTCATTATGATTATAGTGCAACAGCTTATTAAGAAAGGAAAAGGTACAGTACCTCCAAAGAGGGCGTTCAATTTATTCCCGCAGTATTTTATTAATAGCCTAAATGAATGACTACACTGCATTATCCAGTGCCTCTTACTATAAACTACAAGAAAACATTCCTTAAGATGACCATCTTCATGCCAAATTTCTGCCCAAAGCAAATTTAAACTATAATCGCTTCTTAAAAAGAAAAAAAAATATCTTTAATGAAAGAAAAGGTTTGTAACTGTAATACCTCAGGTAACAGCAAAGTTAAATAATTACATTGTAGTGCTCAGGTTTTTTAATATCATTATACTTGAAAACAATTAGAACCAAAATCTTTATAGAAAGTGACCTGAAGAAGTGGATTTGCATGATCTATACAGGCACAGAACAGCAGCAAAAGTAATTAAAAATTAGGTGACTGATGAACTTTAAAGCATCTGTTGTAAACATATTTTTTTTTTAAGACTTTACAAAGATAAACCTTGAAATGCAATCTCACTAACAAAACTGCCAATTAGCGCTTTATCTGCTTCCATGTACTACTGCAAGCCTGATTTTACCTTGTTTGCAATACTTGTGATGAAGGACTTGATGTCCAGATTAGTTGGGCAACTCTTCTGACAGGGGGCATCTGCACACTTTAAGCATCTACAGAAATAAAAGAAAATGTGTCAAGGAGACATGGAATACAAATGTCGCCAATACCATAAGGTTTTCAAGTTAACATGGTAGAAGGTAAGCCATAAAGGAATAATACAGAGCATTTTCATAAAATTTTTATTTAAAACCTCAGAACACTACATGATCATTATTGACTTACATTCAACACTGATTGTTTATCTTCTGTTGACTTCACTTTACACAGGAAGGCAGTAGGGTGCAGTTACAAACATATGGACTACACATCCAAGTATTAGGAAACAACATCTAATTACATAGAAGTAATTTTTTCCCCTGGAATCCAAGATTGCTAAACTTCTGACCACTTCTTTTTTCTGTTTGAAAAACATCTGTGCTGTGAATCTGAATTTATTAACAAAGTTCTGGAAGTGTCACCGTGGATTAACTTCTGGATGTTGGACAATGAGACGTATGAAAGCAACAGTATTTCCACAGAGGAAGGAATTACTTTGCACTACATGTGCCAAAAAATAAGAATGGTTAATAAATTTTCAAGTCACTTTTCTATGAGTTTCTTTTGATATGTCTGTGACCTCTGAAAACAATTCTGTCTTAAACATACACCCAACTGAAATCCATAAAACCCTCTTCTTGTCATCCTGAATGACAAAATCTAACTGTATATTAAAACATAGTACGTAGCAAAGTTTTATCGTCTGTTTCTTCATAGTCATCCAGGAGGAGGCACCGGTCTGGTTGCTTGCACAATTCCCATCTAAGGATTAAGCCGTCAGGGCAACATAGGCAATTAGGTTTGCAGTAAGCAAATCTGACAAAAAAAGGTAAAAAGTCAGCTGAAGAATGAAAATGGTTCTCTGATAAACACAAAGGTATTTGTACACACTTTTGGTTTTACATATCAATGACTATCATAGGTCAAATGCCACACTACTAATTATCTCAGAATTCATTAAGCTATTCCAGATGCTCTTTCAATATTGTTTTACTAACATACAGAATTTATGTAAATTGTGGTTTTAACAATCTGTGGAAAATGAAATAAAATTTGGTTTTTACATGTTATCTGAGCACAACTACTTACGTAAGTTCCACAAGTTCACCTTAATTATTGTTACGTAGTGATAGATAATCACACTGTGGAACCGGCTGGGACAAAATCTTTTCAAACACACAAAAGCTGCAGAGGCCTATGGACTACATGTACAAAGAAATGAAGAGCACATTAAAAGGAATGAAATGTTTGAAATACTTGGAGTGTAAAACCAGCCTGACTTTGTCAATTACACGCATTGTTTTTGTTCTGTTTTCTTTTTTTGTTTGTTCGAGGTTTTTTTGGTTTGGTGTTTTTTGGTTTTTTTTTTTTCAATTAAGGGTGGAATAAGAGAGAAGGCAAAGCCAGTTAAGTAAAAGATTAATTAGTCTTTCATCTTTCAATTCATTATCATCTAGCTGGGTATTGCAGACACCATGGCACCAGCAAAATTTGAAGGCATACGTGGTAGCGGCTGTTTGGATTTTCTCACGGCCCTCGTCATGGGGAAAAGGTCCCAGAGGAAATATTTAAAGGAAAACAGGTCTCACAGGCTGCGAAAGCTGAGAAATCTGATAAAGCCAAATCCAGGTTGAACACCATGGTGGGTTACTAGTTCAACTACTATGTCAGAGGGCTCTGGCAGAAGAGCACCATCAGGTTTAGCTGTGGCAGTTAAATATACCACTGCCCAGTACGACCCACTGACAGGCACATGTTATAAATGCCTTAACAAGCAAAGGCAGGCCAGTGGGGACCTCAACGGGTTGATGTGGCCAGAGCACCGAGTCAAGAGGATGCTCTTAGCATTCTAAGCAGATTGAAAGACAGCAAAGTTTTAGGACTAGAAGGCAGAAAAAAAAAAGGATATACGCTAGACAAAATACACCACTATGAGAGTTCAGATGATCATTTTGCCTGTGCGGGCAGTAAGGAAATAATAGAAGTGGAAAATCACGCATTTGAAAAAGGCAACAATTCCATTCTGACTTTTTGCTCTTCATTTTTCTGAATGTGGTTTCCTTTAAAATACAATAGTCCTGTATCCAACACCAAAAGAATCGCACTTAACATAAAATACATTTCTGCGGATGATATATAGAACAATCTCATGTCAAAACTGACTAGAATGGCACCTAGCAGGATAAGCAGTGTACAGATTACCCATTGTGGCTAGGCAAGCATCTTTCCCAAATTATTTCTCTTTTGATTTTTGAGCTGGTTCACAAATAACAGCTGTTGAAAATGTCAGCTATTGGGGGGGGCGGGTAACGCAAACTTGAATGTGAGCTTTGGGGAGGAGGGGAGGGTGCCATGAATATGCCAGTCCAGACTTTCTCTTATAATAATACCATCTTCCGATTCTCTGAGCACTCTGCAGACTAAAGTGCACCAGGCTGCCATTAATCCCACTTATCACCCTGACAGCTCAGTAATTACACTCCTGCTATAGCTAGGTACTGTAGTCCTAATAAAACATCAAGCACTGCGCAGAATGCATGCTGGTGAGGTGTTTTATTAAACTTGGGGGGTTGATCATCAAGTGACATTAGTGTTGACCTATTTTTCTATCTGACAATAAATTATCCTTTGACCATACCATAATAGATATTACAGAGTGCATTTACTGTACCAAGGAGCAAAGGTATTGCATTCTGGTGAACCAGGCAAAAAGCATAAATAAAATAGCAGAATCACCCACCAGAAAGTTATTACATAAATTGCTGCAAGTGATTGATCCTTTCAAAAATCACAGGCAAAATACCGTGCTTAAGGGAATACGCCGACAATTACCATGAGCTTCAATTCCACGTCCGTGTCCCCATATGAGGAAGCATTAAGTATTACACTTCTTTCCTTTTTCTGTCACTGCTCTCCCACCTTATGAAATCCCTTTTCTTTTCCAAGGTTACTCCAGTACTATGGGTTTAGTTCAAAATAATGTAAACAACAAACTAGAAATTCAGATTAAATTTCTGTAATTCACCTGCTAGCTGCTACCAAATTTAAATGAAGAGACACAAAAAAGGAAAAAAAAAAAAAAAGACCCAGAAATGAAATATCCATGTTCTTAAGTGGTCATACTATTCTGGACTGCATAAAAACATTAGACAAAGCCAGGCCTATGCTAATCTCAGAATATATATCTCAGCATTTATTCGTAAAAATATAGGAAAAATGCTTCCAACTATCAGAAAACACTCTATTATCAATTTTTTCCCTATTTGTTTCTAAAGGAGATGCTGTTCCACGAACATATAGGCTATGTTGAATCTTAAAAGATATCATATTCACTCCATATGCATATTGACTCCCACGTAAAAGGCAACACCACAGTCTTTGCACCACTAAACCCCAACTTGAGGAACTCAAAGAAAATGAATGATATTTTCCATTGTGGAAGCACTTCGCTGTTGGTTCAACTCAGTCTTATTGTGAAATGGTAAATTAAGTTAGATATAAACCCCTACAAATGCTATGCAAGTATAGCATATTTATATAAATATTTATGCAAATATTATCATTTGGCATAGCTTTATAGACATGCCTGTGACTATATAATGACAGAAATTCACGTTTCCCACACATCTAAGCTCAAAATTTACATGTCTTACTGAACAGTGTTAAATTATACATATGTATCTCCAATGAACTTAAAATCTTTTTAACTTCTTATTTTAAAATGTTGCAACACTGAAGTTATTTACCATTTAAGGTGAGCATGCTTGTAAATCTCTTTCAGGCACAAAATAACACATGCAAAGGATATTTATGCAGTAGCATCAGATATCAGATTTGTACCTATCAATTTTGTCAATGCAAAATAAGCACCTAAAACCATGCACGTACACACACACACTCACTTAATTGACCTCTAATAGCACAGGTACCAATCAAATAAAACAAATAAAATAAAATAAAATAATCCAAAACACACAACACAGAGAGCAGTAGATTACAAACATCTGAAGACAATAAAGGGGAAAGACATTTCAAAGGTAGCAAAATTTTTTTTCAATGTAATAAAAAAGAAAAATTGAATAGACAAATAAAAGTTGCAAATTTCTGGAACACATACTACCCACTGGGAAAGAAGATGCAAGAAACCATGAGGTATGTCTATGCATAAAAAGGAATAGAAAGCAAATAAGGAAAAGAACGGATAAAAAAGTAACCAATTTCTCTACCAAAATCTTTCCCTTAGGAAAAAATTATACCAGAAACCAGTTCTCTACTCTTGTGTACAGAAGAAAAAGAGAAAAGGAAGCCATGGCCAAGACTAATTTTTCAATTAATAGTTTTCATTGTTTAATTGTTGAAATATTACCCAATATTTTATTTTAAAGTTAAAATATCTGACCAAAATATAGTCTCATTTCTACATCTAGACCAGCTCTTAACACATTTTTACTTCTAAACAAAGAAGGACAATTTAGTTATATTGTTACTTAAAACTGCAGCAAACAATTGTCTATCTAACTGGCAATATTACCTGAAGTTCAATCACATGTATGCTGAAAAGCCAGGGGTGAAACAGATAACGTGGAGTAATATTCCACAACAGATCATTGCTGATAATCCATCAAATTTTCATATATCACAAAACAGACCAAATAACCTTTATCATGGTTACTGTTGGCAGAGGTTTACAAGCAGATTAAATCCTAATCCATTTACGTGGGTTTCTGCAGGACACATTCATTTTGAAAATTTCTATTTGTAGAAGTTTCTAAAACTGTATCCACGACTCAGAGAAATAGCCCAGATACCCACATAACAGTTTTACACAGATATAGACTTCCTGAGGCTTTGCTCAATTAATTTTAAGAGAATGGTAGAGCTGATTCCACCTAACAAACTAGAAGCCAGTTTGCGCAGGACACCCAGTTCTGATGTCAAGGCTCTTCTCAGTTCCAAGTCTCTTGCACAACTGTCTGAATCCTGAGGTGGGGATGGTAAACAGTGGAATAAGAAA